ACAAAAAATTATTTTTGACTGAGACTACAGTAATGTACTACAGTAATACTTCACTATTTCAAAAGGCCAATCATATGACCAGCGTATCGGTGTGAAAAAAAAGAAAAAAAAAATCAGCAGTGTAACACGTTGCTTAACTCATAAACAATGTTTCAGTTCTAGTAATCATACACGATCTCGCCAAAACAAACACCGAACCCAGACACTCGTCAAAAGGCACAAACACACACATTCAGACTCTCTCTTTCACTCTCTTTCAGTCAATCTCAGTCTATCTACCTGTCTGTTCTAAAGTTCATTGTCAACTCTCTGTCTCTCTCTCTCTCTCTCTCTCTCTCTCTCTCTCTCTCTCTCTCTCTCTCTCTCTCTCTCCTCTCTCTCTCTCTCTCTCTCTCTCTCTCTCCTCTCCCTCTCCTCCCCCCCCCCCTCTCTCTCTCTCTCTCCCTTCCCCATATCTATTTTTCTTAATATAGATTTGCAAAAAAAAAAATTATAATAATAAATAATAATACTCTTTATACACAGATATGGTAAAAAAAAAAGATGTGAAAATGTTGCCTCTTCTTTTCCATTATTGATAGAATACTTTTTCCTAAATTGATTATTTGGTCTTTAACTTAGGTACATTGAATATATTTGCAGTACAAAGTTGTAGGATAGTCTATTTACTGATAAATATGTTTCGTGAAGTGAAGGAAAGTAACATTGACTAAATGGATTAATAAATCTCATCATAAATTAATCGTGTTTGATATTGATATGGGTATGTTATTAAAACTCTCTCTCTCTCTCTCTCTCTCTCTCTCTCTCTCTCTCTCTCTCTCTCTCTCTCTCTCTCTCTCTCCCTCTCTCCCTCTCCTCCCCCCTCTCTCTCTCTCTCTCTCTCCTCTCTCCCTCTCCTCTCCTCTCCCTCTCCTCCTCCCCCTCCCCTCTCTCTCTCTCTCTCTCTCTCTCTCTCTCTCTCTCTCTCTCTCTCTCTCTCTCTCTCTCTCCTCTCTCTCTCTCTCCGTCTCTCTCTCTCTCTCTCCTCTCCTCCCTCCATCCATCCATCCATCCATTCATCCATCCCTCTCCTTCTCCCTCGCACTCACGCACACACACACACTAATGACACCGCAAACACTTGCCCGTTTCTCCCAAGGGTAAAGTGTGGGGGAGGAAGGAAGAGAAAATGATAGATGAACTTGCAGGTGTGTGTAGTGCATTATATATACGTGGTCGCATCTGCTATATGTGCATATATATGTATACATGCAATTTATCCATCTTTTCATATACATATTTATAAACATACACACACACACACACACACACACACACACACACACACACACACATATATACCTGTGTGTATACGTGTGTATGTGCATGCGTGTATATGCGTTTGTATATATGCTTGTATTCATCTTGTTTATATAGGTGAACAGGTAAGTGTGCTCAGGAATGGCTACATGTTTCCACGAGTGCCTGTCGCAACGGGAGTGCCAGGCGCACCACGCGAGCCATAATTACCGGGAACAAAAACTAACACGCGTATTGCCTGGCTCCCCAAAGGCTGTCATGTCTACACTATGCATTGTAAATTCGGCGATTAGGACAGCGGCCTGGCAGTCGTGGCGGTGAGGGTGGTTGTGCAAAAGGTGGTAGTGATTGTTGTAGTGATGGTAATGAGGATAGTAATGATAATAATGATAATTATATATATGTATGTGTGTATGTATGTCGTTAAAACATTTATAACGGTCAAACTAAAAAATGACTACTGTTACCATGCAAATCTTCAGCTCGCCTTCCAAAGAAGAGTTGCTTTAAAAAAAAGACAATATGCCTTTATCTATTCCAAAATGTTCTCATGAGATGCCAGCGTCATTTTTCTCATTCCAAAACATCCATATCCGTGCAGATTTACCCTCAACCTGCCAAGATGTCTGCTCATCTATCGTGGATCACACCTTTGATATAATCAGCTGATCCCGAGGATACAGGCAGCGCGTCCATGGATTTCCCTGTAAACAACGTTGATTTTACGACTTCCATTCGCCAGAGGTAACAAATTGATAAATCATTGTAATGCTTGGCAATCTTTTACGTTGATATTTGTTGTTTTTTGTGTCTGTTTAAGAAATCCACTCATTTCTCCCTAAAATGTGTCCTCATTTTGTACCCAATAACAATAGACGATGATAATGGTAATATTGGTGATGAAAGGTTATGATATTGACAATAAAAATTATCCACAACTATAATTTTTCATCCTATAAGACTAGGATGAATATGCTCTCATGTTCTCATTCTTTTTATTCTTTGTATTTTGTGTTTTTCACCTTATGTGCGTTTCACCATATTATATGTATCAGACATCAGGTGTTCTTAATATGAGTAAAATAAACGTTAGCCAGCTTTCAAGAACAGTTTTGAAGTGAACAGTTTACTTACAAAATCGTAAAACCAAAGCATTCTTATTATTATGTTCTCTGCCACCAGTGAATATATAATAAAG